TAACCGACTGCGCCACCCAGGCGCCCCAAAAGATAATTTTATTTAAGAGACTTTTAAAATGATCTAGAATCTGCTTGATATAAATAGTTGCATGTGAAATGAGACATAAAATAATACTAAATACATTTCTAATAGTTCATTTCAAAGATCTGGAATAAAATAGAGCTTATCCCAAACTTTAAGTAGTTATTTAACATTTTCCTATTCATGTTTCTATCCCAGTACTTAATAGGGTACAGAACACTTAGTTAAATAGTTCTTGTTGAATTAGTTACTGCTTACTGTGTGCAAAGCTGGACAGATGCCATGGACATAAAAAGATCACTTAGGCCTTTTTCCTAAGGTGCTTATATTTAAGTAGCTTCATGAAATGAGTAGTTTGTGACCAGCATTTAAAAAAATTTTTTTAATGTTTATTTTTAAGAGATAGATACAGCATGAGCGGGGAAGGGGCAGAGAGAGAGGGAGACACAGAATCTGAAACAGGTTCCAGGCACTGAGCTTGTCTACACAGAGCCCGACACGGGGCTGGAACTCATGGACTGGATGGTGAGATCATGACCTGACCTGAAGTTGGATGCTTAACCGACTGAGCCATCCAGCACCACCCCCCCCACCCCGGCCATGACCAGCATTTTTTAAAAGACATGAAATAGAAAATAATCAAAGAACATCACACATAGTAACAATAAGTGTAGTTTCATGAAAATTTTGTTTAAGTTACATAAATTTATGTATAATGGATTGTGACATACAATGTGTTTCTTAACTGTGGCTTGTCAAAAATTTTTGGAAGTCCCTATTTTAGGCACACGTGATTGCTCCAAACAAACCTTGCTTTAAAAAGTAAGGAAAGCAGAGTGTTTAGATGATAGTATGTGTGGAAGATCATAAACAGACATGAGACTAAAATGGTAAAATTGAGCCTTGAATGCCATGCTGAAAAGTGGTGGTGGGGAAGATAGGGTTTATTGGGTAAGGCAAATATTTTAAATTTTTTGAGGACTTAATGTATTCATCTAGTTCAGAATCCAAAAAATAATACAGAACATATAGTGAAAAGTTTCACTTCCACCCTATCCTCTACCCCCCCCCCCCCAACTCAGTTAGTTCCTCTCTCCACAAACACTATTAGTTTGGGGAGTGTCTTTCCAGCAGTGTCTCATGTATGTAAAAACAACTGTGTGTGTGTTTTATTTGTTTTGTCTTTTTTATGTAAATGGTAGACCATGAACCACATGGTTTAGTCCTTTGTATATTTTTTTAAAGATTAAAAAAAATTTTTTAGTTTAGAGAGAGAGCGTGCAAGGGGGGAGAGAGGCAGAGAGAGAGAGACGGGGGAGAATCTTAAGCAGGCTTCATGCTTAGTGCAGAGTCCAACACAGAACTCTATCCTGTGACTCTGGGATCATGACCTGAGCTGAAATCAACCGACTGAGCCACCCCGGTGCCCCAAAGATAGATAGATTGTTTGTTTGTTTGTTTGTTTGTTTATTTATTATTTCAAGGTTTATTTATTTTGGGGAGAGAGAGCGCGCGCGTGCCGCGCATGAGCGGGGGAGGGGCAGAGAGAGAGGGAGACCCAGAATCTGAAGTAGCCTCCAGGCTCCGAGTTGTCAGCACAGAGCCCGACACGGGGCTTGAATCCAAAGCTGAGATCTTGACCTGAACTAAGTCAGACGCTCAACCGACTGAGCCACCCAGGTGCCCTGCACCAAAGATTTTTTAAAGTAGGCTCCATGCCCAATGTGGGGCTTGAACTCATGACCCTGAGATCAAGAATCGCAGTCTTCTTCCAACTGAGCCAGCCAGGTGCCCCTAAGGTTTTTTTTTTTTTATTTAAGAATTTATTTTTAAGTAATCTCTGCACCCAACATGGGACTTGAACTCACAACCCTGAGATCAAGAGTCACATACTCCACTGACTGAACCAACCAAGCACCCCAGCCCTTTGTATTTTTTTATACCTATTATGGGATTTCTCCAGAACAGTACTAGAGCTTGATGAAAGGTTGTCAGGGAAGGAAAATGACTAGATCTGGTCTATATATGTTGAACAGTCAAAGTTAACTAAATTAGAGAAGCAGAGTGTTCTCTTCAATTTGACCTTCAGGACTCACCTTAGCTCTTTAGATGCTCCCTTTCCTGCCTTTTTTTTTTTTTTGCCTCTTAACATTTTAAGTCACTTTTCAACTAAATATGGGGGAGATGGTAAAGCCCGGCTAAATTCTCTATTTCTCGCTATTCCCACTAGCTCTTCATTTTCTTTTGGTCTTTGGGATTCCACTTCTTTATCTCTTAGGAAGGCTTTTCTGACTTGCCCCTATCCTAAGGAGACTGGGTTAGGGCCTTGCCTCTGTGCTTATCCTTACCATAGCACCTAACAGTGTTTTGTAATTATATGTTTTCTGGTCAGTTTTCTCCTTATGCTATAAGCCCCTTCTATGTGCAAGACACATTGCTAGTTGTAAGTATGTTGGTTTTTGAATACTGTATTGCCTGGTTCAGAGCCCCCAAAACATTAATAGAATATGTGTATACATAAGCACATGATCTCTTTTTCTCATTAGGGAGAATTAGGGGATAGATATACTTGAAAAGGTAAAGTATTGACTCAGTGACAGATCACTGTGTTATGATTGGTGACAGTGCCAGGTGAGGCAGTTAGGGAAAGCTTATTGGAAGAGGTGGGACCTAGTAAGTCAGAAGGGAATATGATATCTTGTGTGAGAAATACAGCAGGAGGGAATGGGAGAAGGAGGAGTCGGAGAAGTACTGGAAATGGGAAATGTGCATAAGATGAAGTACAAAGAATCTAAGCAGGGAAATAAATGCTGACAAAATGAGTCATTCAAGAGGAATACCAGATACAATGAGATTACTAAAGGAGGAAGGGGGAGAATCCATAGAGAACCAATGTGAACAGAAAGGCTCATGAAATAAGCATAAATACACCCTTTAGGTATTTGTGGCCTACCCCAAGGCCACTTGGAAAGTGGCCAGGGGAGACTGAGGCTTCTTATTCAGCCGTAGCTACTGGATCTAATTGGCCTGCTGTTTCCTGGTGAGGTGCAGTGACTTTCCTCCAATGATATAAGTGGTTTTCTTTAAGGTTTCTTTTCATTTACTAATTTATTTACTGGACCTGCATGCTGGGAATGTGACTTAAAACTACGTATTTATAAAATTCCACTCCAACCAACAGAACTTGGAGTCAATTTTAATGGATTTTCTGCCTTTTGTTGTGGTGAGGAAGGAATCTTGGTGTTATGTTTAAGTTATTACTAGTTGGAATTGTAGATTATATCAGAGTTCATCCTGAGAGTTTTTACCATGCCTGTTGTTTTAAATTTGAAAGCCTTTGATACACATAACAAGAAACTCATTGAAATCTGAAGTTTGTCCTTTTGGGATCTGAGTAAAAAAGGAAGACCAATTCAACTATTAGAATGAAGAAAAAATACAGTCATTTTGGTTATAATTAATGTTTATTCAGTTGTGCAAATTAAAAAAAATTCTGTATTTAAATATTCTTAGACTTAAATATTGGAGAAAAGTATTTGGTATTTACCTCATACTCTTATAATACCGCTAGCAGTAATGTTTCTATTGTTCTGCTTAGGATGACTTTCAAAGAAAGTACGATTAAGTTTTAATTCATTGGTGGTCAAAGTGCCCAACTCATCTGATAAACAACTGGTGAAATTGTTTTTAAAACTCAAAATGGAGGGCACCTTGGTGGCTCAGTCATTTAAGTGTCCAACTTCGGCTCAGGTCATGATCTCAAGGTTCGTGAGTTTGAGCCCTGCATCAGGCTCTGTGCTGACAGCTCAGAGCCTGGAGCCTGCTTCGGATTCTGTGTCTCCCTCTCTCTCTGTCCATCCGTCACTTGTACTCTGTCTCTCTCGCTCAAAAATAAATTAAAAATTTTTTTTAAAATCTCAAAATGGGATTCTGCTTATGAAAACAATGAACATTTTAAACAAGAAAGCATTTATATATAGTAGTTGTTACAAATTGGATGTCTCCGTAGGGGGAGAACTTGACTTGATTCCCTGTGTCCTTAACCTGAACAGTATATAATATAATAAATATACTGGTGGGGATTTTTTTTGGGGGGGAGGGTGGTACGTTGGTTATGAAAAAGTTCACCTGCATTCATATTTTATTTTACTTTATTTTTTTAATCTTTATTTATTTTTGAGAGAGAAGGAGAGACAGTGTAAGCGGGGGATGAACAGAGAGAGAGGGAGACACAAAATCCAAAGCAGCCACCGGGCTTTGAGCTGTCAGCATAGAGCCCAACATGGGGCTCGAACTCACGAACCCAACTCATGAACTGAGAGTTCATGACCTGAGCTGAAGTCAGACACTTAACCCACTGAGCCACCCAGGCCTCTTCCTTTGTGTTTTAAATGGATGAATATGGGGTGCCTGGGTAGCTCAGTCGGTTAAGCGTCTGACTTCAGCTCAGACTTCAGCTCAGGTCATGATTTCATGGTTCGTGGGCCCGAGCCCCACTTTGGGCTCTGTGCTGACAGTGCAGAGCCTAGAGCCTACTTCAGATTCTGTGTCTCCCTCTGTCTCTCTGCCCCTCCCCTGCTCATGCTCTGTTTATCTCTCTTTCTCAAAAAGTAAATAAACATTAAATTTTTTTAATGGATGAATAAACTTTTTTTAAATAAATTGATGTAAAAATATTAAAATAATAAGAATTTGAGGGTTTCCTGGGTGGCTCAATCAATTAACTGACTCTTGACTTCAGCTCAGGTCATGAATTCATGGTTCATGAGTTCAAGCCTCACATGGGGCTCGTGCTGGCTGTAGGAGCCTGCTTGGGATTCTCTCTCCCCTCCCACCCCTCACCCATTCACACATGCTCTTTTTCAAAATGAAAAAAAATAAAAAAAACTTTAAAAAAAGTTCAGAATTTGATGTAAGTAATCAAGAAATCCCTACCCCATTTTTCTCCTTAAACAAGTATGTGTTTAATCTTGCAGGCTGTGGAAAATCTCTGTTCCTACAAGATTTCTGCAAACTTGTACAAACAGCTGAGACAGATTTGTGAAGATCACATCAAAGCACAAATTCATCAGTTCAGAGAATATCCTTTTAAAAACCAAAAATACTGTTTTTTTACCTTTGACCTCTTTTCCTATCCCTCACTATTTAACCCAACTTGAAGTGGAATGCCTGTGTTTTATAGATTTGTTGTTAATTTCATTTCTAGAGAAAGAAGAAACAAGTTTTTGACTTTTCAGCTTTAATTAGGTTCCAAATTTACATTGTAGTATAAGTTTACTCTTGTCCTAACAAATTTCCATTTTAAGAAAAAATAATCTGAGGGAAATCATAAACAACACAATGCTCACTTATATGTAAGACTTGTTCTAAAAGGTATTTTTTTAGTGGGATCTAAAACTTTTTTACAGTTTAATAGCATTTTGTTCTATAATAAGACAAATGTGCTCTTCTATTGCTTATTACTTGTACTAAGCACTTAAAAATATCCTTGACCTATTTCATGGATTCATTGGATAGTGTTCTTTTTCTAAAGAAGATTGATAGATGCTGGCAAAACCACTGCAGACAAATGGTAAGCTGGAAAAATATTGTAGTTAAATACATTTTTTCAAATACATGGATGTTTTAAAAGCTTTGCAATGTTTGGGGGATAGCCTCAGTATCTGCTCTTGTTCTGAATTGAAAACAGATTTTGTTTGAGTTTTCTACTTTAAAACTGCTAGTTATAGGAAGACCACAAGTTTAGAATGATTTGCACCTTAGGATCATTTTTATTTTTGTCATGCGTAAACTAAAAGTATTTATATGACTAAAAAAAAGTAACATTTTTGTCTGTTAGTCTTGATGGATATCTCACCCACCTACTTGATTACCTGTGAAGGTGCCTGATGCATTTTAGTTTATTCAGATCAGAACTTTTTCCTTTTCCCTAATCGTATTTATTTTATACCTTTTAATCGCAAATTAAAAATCTTAAAATCCCCATACCCAAAACCCACACGTGCAATTTAAGGCAGTTTCACTCTGAATGGGCACTGTTACTGAAGAAGAATTGCATGTGTGTCTCCTTGATTCTGTTTTTATTTTTGGTTACTTCTCAAGTTGCAGAGAAGTCATAGGACCATTCTAAGTGTCCCTTTTCTAGAAATTACAACAAGGATTAAGACAATAGAATAGTTTAACAGAAATGGCATGGGCATATTCTCAGGTAGATTTCTTTATCTGTGTGTTTGATTCTAGTAGTTTATGTATAAAAGTGAACCCTGCAATTTTATTCTTATTTTATCAAGAGCAAATATTTCAGCTTAACAAAATATAAAAATTGGTTTTCTTTTTCATTGGCAGATCATGATTAGAAGCATTTTTTTGTTTCTGGATAGAACTTACGTTCTTCAGAATTCAATGCTACCCTCGATTTGGTAAGAATGCCAGAAAAAATTACGAAAAGATTTGTTACAAATGATAGTTAAATCTTAATTACACTAATGGAAAGAGAGTAAGTGATTCTGTGAACATTCTCCTAAAAATTCACATTTGGCTTCTAGACTTGTATTTATAGCAGTTTTACCTTCTTAATTAGTTTTGCCTATGTTGGAGATAGCTTGCATTCCTTGAGCATATGATACTTTATAAAGTTTTTTTGTTAGCCAAGGGATTAAAGTTTGCTCTGGACTATCTTACGAGTGTGCATTATTTTGTTGCTTATCAAGAGTTTGCTCATTATCTTTTAACATTGTTATGGAAAATTCCATATATGAAAATAGAATAGTATAACGAGCTCTTTCCCCCACCATGTGCCTAGTATCTGCCTGCAGTAATTATCTGGAGAGTTTACTGATTTTTGAGTACTGAAGCCAGATTACAAATGACCAATTAGCCTTCATTACCAGTACAGTGAAAACCATTTTATATCTTTGAACTAATTTTGTCTCTTGATTTGACCAAGGAAGAAATCCACCAAAGGAAATAATACAACCAAACTTAGTTACGGAGGAAGACAGGAATTTAGCTTCAATTCTCATTAAAGGCGATGATTTTCCTGTATACTTTAATTCTAATAATGTTATGTAAAATTAAATGTGTGGATTTTATCTTTTCACAATTGCTGCTTCAAATCTGGGGCCCTCATTAACGTGGTGAGAAGTTAAGCAGGTTTCTCTAGAAGTGGTATTGTTGTCAATTAATTATATATGTTTTTTATTTTAGGGACATGGGACTAGAGTTATTTAGGGCTCATATTATAAGTGATCAGAAAGTCCAGAATAAGACAATTGATGGCATTCTTCTCTTGATTGAGAGGGAAAGGAATGGTGAAGCAATTGATAGAAGTTTACTCCGAAGCCTTTTGAGTATGCTGTCTGACTTGCAAGTAAGTTAACTTACTTCACTTACAGAGCTGATTGCTATTCCTAGTTTGATGTTTGAAAACCAGATTCATGGTGCTATTCACATAGAGGACATTTAATAAGTATTGAATAAATGAACTCGTTTGTTTTGATTTCCCCCCCCCCCCCAGATTTATCAGGATTCTTTTGAACAACGGTTTTTGGAAGAAACTAACCGGCTCTATGCAGCTGAAGGCCAAAAATTAATGCAGGAAAGAGAGGTACTTAAAAATCATGATTAATAAATCCACTGTGTCTCATAATAGACCTTACTTTATAGAGCATAAGCTGCCTTTTGCATTTATCTTCTGAACATTGTGATGCTTTTCTCTCACTTAGGTTCTCCTTTCTTTTCTCTCTCCTTAAAGGCCAGAATTCTGGATCGTAAACTACCTATAATTTTACATGTTTCAGTCCTGTCATTCAGGGCTGTCCCCAGGGTATTTTGGATTTGACATTTTCTGAATGATTTATGGGGAGGAAAACAATAATATGAAAAACTGTCTTTGTAGGTTCCTGAATATCTTCATCATGTTAACAAACGTCTAGAAGAAGAAGCAGACAGACTTATTACTTACTTAGATCAGACCACCCAGTAAGTATTATATGCTCAGTCTAATAGACTTTAACCAGTGTTGTTGAATCACTTCAGGCACTAAGCATCCCCAAACCTGTTAGTACCCATTTTCAGGTGTGATTTGAGATTTGTAACAATTGTTTTCTTAATGTAAACTTCAAGTTATTTTTCTCTAGTTAATTAGATTTAATCAAGGGTTGTCTGCATGTGTTAAGGATGTAATTTAAAAATAGTATTAGAGAGGTGCCTGGCTGGCTCAGTTGGTAGAGCATTCAACTCTTGATCTCAGGGTCATAAGTTTCAAGCCCCACATTGGACGTAGAACTTATTTTTTTTTTTTTTAATGAAAAAAATACTAGGCTGATTAAAATTCAGTAGGTATGGGGCATATGGGTGGCTCCATTGGTTAAGCTTCCAACTTAAGCTCAGGTCATGATTTCATGGTTGGTGAATTCAAGCCCCACGTCGGACTCTCTGCTGTCAGTGGGCTCTCTGCTGTCAGCGCAGAGCCCGCTTGGGATCCTCTGTCCCTACCCCTCTCTGCCGCTCACGTGCGCATGCTCTGTCTCGCTCTCTCTCTGTCAAACATAAACTTTAAAAAAATCAGTAGGTGTTTGGAGGAGAAACTGTTTCTGTGCTTTCCTAAATATTAACCACCAAGGAGTTCCTGTAAACAGCATAGATAACTACCTTCCTAATAAAAGCAGAGAAACTTGGAAAAAGCCAGCCACGGCAAGACCATGGAAATACTTATTTAGTGATGTAAATCAAATTCTGAAATAATGCACTTTTTCTTCTTGCATAAGTAGAGTGCCTCTGAGCACCAATAAATTTAAATGTAGGATAGGAATATTAAAATTATCATAAAATAAGCTATATGTGATTTTTCCACCCAAAGAAAGGTTTTAAATTTTCAGGAAAGTCCATTGGCGGTAATTCTAAACTTTTTCTTTCTTGTAGGAAGTCATTAATTGCTACTGTAGAAAAGCAACTTCTAGGTGAACACTTAACAGCAATTCTTCAGAAAGGTAATTGACAATTTATAAATAAAGAGATTACATTTTAAACGGTAGAAGCAGACAAGTAAAAAATTTTTAAGGATTACCCTTTTAAAAGCTTGATGCTGTGTGGCTGCTTTTCTGAGGATGGACAAACCCCTTTTCCCTATTCATCATTGTAAACTTTCAGGAGGTGCTTCTTGCCTTAATTTAAAGATACAGGAACTGAGGAGGCGCCTGGGTAGCTTAGTCAGTTAAGCAGCTGACCTCGGCTCAGGTCATGATCTCACGACTCACGAGCTCATGGGTTCCAGCCCTGTGTTGGGCTCTGTGCTGCAGCTCAGGGCCTGGAGCCTGCTTTGGATTCTGTGCTCTCCACCACTCCCCAACTCACGCTTGCTCTCTCTGTCTCTCTCAAAAATAAATAAACATTAAAAAAAGATACAGGAATTGAGAATGAGAGGGGTCCACTAACACCAGCAAAAAAAAAAAAAGGCAGTGGGAATTCTTGACTTAATTTGTAAGACTATGGTAAGATTCCTTTTTACACTCAGGTGTTTTTATTCATAGCATATAAAACCAAGCACTTCTAATCCCAGGTGATCTTGAGGGTATACCCTGAATTTTATTTTGACAGTGCCAGAAATACACAATAGTCTTACCTTTCTCTCCAACCACCTTTTGTATAAAATGGATATATTTTAGAACTTCAAAGCAGTTACATATTATTTCATTCTGAAAATCAAATACAGAACCTCATTTAAACTTGGCCTATTAGGGGTGCCTGGGTAGCTTAGTTGGTTAAGCATCCAACTTCGGCTCAGGTCAAGATACCATGGTCTGGGAGTTCGAGCCCCGTGTCGGGCTCTGTGCTGACAGCTTAGAGCCTGGAGCTGGCTTCAGATTTTGTGTCTCCCTTTCTCTCTCTGCCCTCCCCTGCTCGCATTCTGTCTCTCTCTCTTTCAAAAATAAATAAACATTAAAAAAACACTTAAGCTTGGCCTATTAATGCATGGTTTTTAAAACACCACAGACTGTATCCAGTACTCTGAAAAATATGTATACTAATTAGTGCCAGATATAATACGGCTTCCACACACGTGCGAGTTATTTATAACGTATATTTAAGTAAATCACTTATTACAAATTGGTTTATACCTCTGATCTATGCTAAATGGAACAAACTGTTGGATAATTATTTTTGTTTTTATATAGACTAAAGCTCCCTGTATTTAGTTTTCATTTGGAAAGGTGATTTATCTATTTGGATTGACTAGAAAACAAGTGTCCGTTAAAATTCATAGACTAGTAATAGTTTAGACCACTATTACATTAATAATTTAACTTAATTTTCATTAAAATGTCTGACGTTTTTGGTAACTATTTTTAATGCCAAAATATTTGAAATTCCAGGTTTAAATAACCTCCTTGATGAAAACCGAATTCAAGATTTATCTCTCCTGTATCAGCTCTTTAGTAGAGTTCGAGGTGGAGTTCAGGTTCTCTTGCAACAGTGGATTGAATACATTAAGGTATTAACAATTAACCTGTGTTTTTTTCAGCTATTATAATCTATGCAGAATGCATATCAGCAAGTATTTCTTGTTAGATCCAATTTTTTTTTAAGTAATGGGAATTTTGAAGGCGGTAAACCTGAGAATGATAGCTGTGTAACAGATCAGCAATAAAAGTTATCTTCCTGATGTCTGATATGATTTCTAGCTTCAGTACTTAGAATAGTGAATGTGGGGAGTGGGGGCAGGCAAGAGGATTTTTGTTTGGATCCAAAATTTCTTTCCTTTCTTCAATTTTACACTGAAGCTAGATTGCTATTTTTTAAAAAAATTCAAACCTGACTTTAAAAGTAGGAATAAAAGCCCAGAGACTTAAAATAATACTCCATTATGATACCATATACCCAGTAAGTCATTTCTTATTTTGTGACTGTAGATGAATTGTATCAGTCTGCATGTTTTATCACTTTAGTTTTTTCTTTTCCTGACCTCAAAAACAGCTTTACTTTAATATTTTGATATTTAAAAATGTGTGTACCTACTTAAAATATGATTTGTGGATTGTTTTCATCAGATAATTCTGCTAAAAAGTGGTCATTTTTATTTTTAGGCATTTGGCAGCACTATTGTAATTAATCCTGAAAAAGATAAAACCATGGTTCAAGAATTACTGGATTTTAAAGATAAGGTTGACCATATAATTGATATTTGTTTTCTGAAAAATGAAAAATTCATCAATGCCATGAAAGAAGCATTTGAGACATTCATTAACAAAAGACCAAACAAACCTGCTGAACTTATAGGTATTTTCCAGTATTTTTTTTCTGGCTGTTTAATGTTCTTTTATTTATAAAATTTCAATTAATTTGAAACTTTGACAAGGTTGTAGTTGATTCAACACCTCATTTATTTGCGGTTGATTAGGTGGCAGTTTCTAAGAACCTTATTCTAAGGAATAAGTCCTTCGAGGTAAAGAACATAAGTCACATGTCAAACATGATGTTCTGTCTTGGTAAGATCGTACATTGGACCCTATTTACTTTTATTTACACTAAGCTTGATATCTGTTTTTTAAGCCTGTAGCAATTTAGAGGTGGGACAGGGTGCTACTTCTAGAGGCCCACACTTAGGGCTACAATAAAGTCTAGCAAGAAATTATAGTTGCTAGTGAGAAAGGAAAATGTCCAGGACAGGGGCACCTGGGCGGCTCAGTTGGTTAACATCCAGCTCTTGATTTTGGTTCAGGTCATGATCTCATGCTTCCTGAAATTGAGCCCTGTGTCAGGATCTGTGCTGACAGTGTGGAGCTTGCTTGAGATGCTCTCTATCCCTCTCTCTCTGCCCCTACCCCATTCATGTGGGCACTCTCTCTCAAACTTAGAAAAAACGCCCAGGACAAAAATAATCTGGTCATCTGGGTCCATTTAGTGTAAGGATATGATATATGGCAGTGTTTCTCAGGTTTTCCTACCAAACTACCCTTTAGTGTCAGGAGAGGTACTCTCTGAAGGTTTAGGGTCCTCTGCCAAAGGGATGAAATTTCGTTGATCTACTACTTACCTTTAAATTTTTTGGCAGATTTTGCCTTTTACTCTGTGTCTGGTTTGTTTTCATAAGTAGCGTTTAAGATTGCTTGACATCAGTATAAAATGGACACTCAGAAGATGTGCCAGGTCTTTAAGTGGCTTTTTTTGGAGATGTAATTGCCATATGTTCTATTAGTTTCAGATGTACAGCATAGTGATTCAACATTTGTATGCATTGTGAAATGGTCACCACGATAAGCCTAGTTACCATCTGTCCCCTTGTGAAGTCAATACAATATTTATGGACATTATTTATATTCCCATGACTTATTTTATAACTGAATTTGTGTTTCTTTATCCCCTTTACTCATTTCGACACCCCCAACCGCCCTTCCTCTGGCAACCACCAACCTGTTCTCGTATTTGAGTCTGAATTTTGTTTTGTTTTTTAGATTCCACATATAAGTGAAATCCCATGGTATGTGTCTTATTTCTGTGTCTTAATTTCACTTAGTGTACAACCCTCAAGATCTGTTATGCAAATGGCAAGAGTTCATTCATTTTTATGGCTAAATAGTATTCCATCACACACACACACACACACACACACACACACACACTCTCGCTCTCGCTCGCTCTCTCTCTCAACCTTCTGTATCCATTTATCCATTGATAGGATATTTAGATTGTTTCCCTGTCTTGGCTGTTGTAAATATGCTGCAATGAACATAGGGGTACATGAATGTTTTTGAATTAGTGTGTTCATTTTCTTCATGGTGGAATTGCTGGATCATATGGTAGCTCTATTAATTTTTTGAAGAACCTCCATAATATTTTCCATGGTGGCTGCACCGGTTTACATTCCCACCAATAATGCCCGAGGGTTACCTTTTCTCCAAATCCTCACCAACACATTTTTTTTGTCTTTTTGATACTAGCTATTCTGACAGATATAAGGTGATATCCCATTATGATTTTGATTTGCATTTCCCTGATGATTAGTGATATTGAGCATCTTTTCATGTGCTTTTTGGCCATCTGTATGTCTTTGGAAAAATATCTATTTAGGTCCTCTGCCAATTTTTTAATTGGATTTTTTTTTGTTAACTGGGTTGTAGGAGTTCTTTATCTATTTTGGATATTAACCCCTTGTTGGAAATTGGTTTTTCTGTATGGTGTAAATCATGGTCCAGTTTCATTCTTTTGCATGTGGCTGTCCAGTTTTCCTAATACCATTTATTAAAGAGACTGTCCTTTTTTCCCATTGTATGTCCTTGCCACCTTCGGCATGGATTAATTGACCACATAAGCATGGGTTCATTTCTGGGCTATTTATTCTATCCCATTGATATGTGTGTTTGTTTTTATGTCCACATGATACTGTTTTGATTAGGGATTCTTTTGGTTTGTTTTTTTAAATATGGAACGCTTCACGAATTTGCGTGCCATACTTGGGCCATGCTGATCTCTGTATCCTTCTGATTTTAGTATATGTGCTGCTGAAGTGAGCATTGATTACTCTGGTTTTTTTTAATGTTTATTTTTTAAAAGAGAGAATGTATGGGCATATGCGTGTGGTGGAGGGGCAGAGAGAGACAGAATCCAAAGCAGGTTGTGCACTGACAGCTGGATGTGGGGCTCGAACTCATGAGCTGTGAGATCATGACCTGAGCTGAAGTTGGTTGCTTAACTGAGCCACCCAGGCGCCCCTGATTAATGGTTTTGCAGTATAGTTTAAAATCAGGAAGCATGATGATACCCGTGGCTTTGTTGTTCTTTCTCTAGATTAGCTATTTGAGATCTTTAGTGGTTCCATACAAATTTTTAAATTATTTGTTCTAGTTCTGTGAAAAATGCCATTGGAATTTTGGTAGGGATTACATTGAGTCTGTAGATTACTTTGGGTAGTATGGATGTTTTAACAATAGTAATTCTTCCAATCCATGAGCACAATATATTTTTCCATTTATTTGTATCGTCTTCAGTTTCTTTCATCAGTATCTTACAGTTTTCCACATACAGGTCTTTCACCTCTTTGGTTAAATTTATTTTTAGGTATTTTATTCTTTTTGTTACAGTTGTAAATGGGATTGTTTTCTTGAGTTCTCTTTCTGATAGTTTAGTATTAGTGTATGGAAACACGAGACTTTTCTATATTTTGTGTCCTGCAACTTTACTGAATTCATTTGTTTTAATAGCTTTGTGGTGGAGTCTTCAGGGTTTTCTATATACAGTGTCATGTACAGACAGTGACTATTTTACTTCTTCCTTTCCACTTGTATGCCTTTTATTTATTTTCCTTGCCTAATTGCTGTGACCAGACTTCCAATATGATGTTGAATGAGACTGGGAATAGTGGGCATCTTTGTCTTGTTCCTGATCTCAGAGGAAAAGCTTTCAGCATTTCACTGTTTGGTATGATACTAGCTGTGGGTATGTCCTATATGGCCTTTATTTTGTTGAAGTACATCCCCCTACACCCACTTAGTTGAGAGTTTCTGTTATAAATGGCTATTGAATTTTGTCAAATGCTTTTTCTATATCTAATGATGATCGTATTATTTCTCCTTTCATTTTGTTAATGTGGGTGTATCATGTTGATTGGTTTGTGGATGTTGAACCGTCCTTTCATCCCTGAAATAAATCCCACTTGATCACTGTGTATGATCCTTTCAGTGTATTGGGTTTTGTTTTTTTATTTTAACAGTTTTTATTTTTTTAATGTTTATTTTTTGAGAGAGCGCAAGTGGGGGAGGGATGGAGAGAGAGACAGAATCTGAAGTGGGCTTCAGGCTTTGAGCTGTCAGCACAGAGCCCGACATGGGGCTCAAACTCACAAACCGTGAGATCATGACCTGAGCCAAAGTCGAGACTCTTAACTGACTGAGCCACCCAGGCACCCTTCAGTGTATTGTTGAATTCAGTTAACACATGCAAGCTCATCTACCTGTACTAGTGAGCTATGTGGAAAGTGCAGTGATGATTCTAGCACCTTGATCTTCAGGGAGTATATTACCTGTATCTCTTTGCCCCCAGATCAGCAAACATATCTTCCACGTATAGTCTAGGTGCTTTTCAAAAGGCTGTTTTTTCATTGGGTCTTGAGGTGAGCCAGGCTACAAGGGAGCCCTCCAAGAGGGGAATCCCCATTTCCTAGAGTACTTTGGGATCCCTGGAAATCACGTCTATTGGTTATTTAATAATTTTTTAAAATGTTTATTTTTGAAAGAGAGACAGCACAAGCGGGGGAGGGGTAGAGGGAGAGAGAGACAGGATCTGAAGCAGGCTCTAGGCTCTGAGCCGTCAGCACAGATCCCAACGTGTGGCTCGAAGCCACAAACCGTGAGATCATGACCTGAGCTGAAGTCAGTCACTTAACCCAACTGAGCCACCCAGGTGCCACAAAATCTGTTGGTTTTTTAAGTCAGATGTTCCCGGGGCTCATCTCTCTGCTGCAAATCACTGAGGCCAGGGTGCCCGAAGTAAGGCACCAATCCCTTGTTCCTCCAAGAGAAGCACCTGACTGGTGAAATCTTTCCCTATTGTGTGTTACAATATCGTGTCTCTGCCTCTCCTACCCATCTTGCTGTGATCCTTTTATCCTTTGTTGTAGAGAGCAGTTCATCCAGTTTTCAGATGTTTTTCAAAACAAAATGCTCCATGGAGCTGTAGCTGGGGTCTGTTCATGGGAGGAAGTGAGTTTAGGCTGTTATGCTGCCATCTTGGACCCCCCCCCCCATCGTCAATGGTTTTGATGACTCCAGCATGGTACTGTATACACTACCTCCCCCAGGATACATATACCCCATTTTACTAACCATCAGGATAGTGGAAAGTACATGAGATATGGAGCCAGAAAACTTGGGTTTGAGTTCAGGCTCTGGTATTTATTAGCTCTGTGATGTTGAATAAGTCACCTGATGTCCCTGACTTTGGGGACTTTAGAAATGCATGTATATCTCTGAAGCATTGAAAAATTCAGTGTATCATACTCCTATTTGGGTGTATATAGTGCCTAGTATCTTATGGATACTAATGATCACTAAACAAACTTTCCCCCCATTTTAGCTAAGTATGTAGATTCAAAGCTTCGCGCAGGCAACAAAGAAGCTACAGATGAAGAACTTGAAAAAATGTTGGATAAAATTATGATCATATTTAGATTTATCTATGGTAAGTGTTTTTGCCTTAAAATTTATCTTTTAGAACAGAGCACTCAACCTGGAGGGAGTATTTATTTGGGAGTTAGATATTTAAATTTGTATTAGATTTGTTGCATTTAATTCATTGGGGTACTTGTGGAATATTACTTAATTGCCTTGTGCTTTGACTTTTCCACTTATTAAGAGCCTTGATTTTTGCTACTTTTTTTAATCTGTTAATGCCAAAGCCACCAGTCGACTAAAACTTTTTTAAAGAAAAGTTAATGTAGTCTTCTTTACAGCAAAGAACATTTGAAATGTCCAGCATAAATATCTACCTCTAATGTCTGTTGCATTTAACGAACTTGGGTAAAATGTATAAATTTAAATAACCTGGAGTAATGGTATGATTTATTAAGCACTTGGGAGCAATTGTGTCAGAACTTTTTATTGGAAACTTAGCTGTATTTTATTTTTTTAACATAGGTAAGGATGTTTTTGAGGCCTTCTATAAGAAAGATTTAGCCAAGCGCCTGTTAGTTGGGAAAAGTGCATCTGTAGATGCTGAAAAATCAATGTTGTCCAAACTTAAACATGGTATGATTGTCATTCTTTCTATTCCTTTTCTTTGATTTCTGAGGGACAATGCTACCTTAATTTTTATTTGATTACTTGCCTCTTTCGTTAATCATTATTCAGATGATGAAAATGTAAATTGAGTTAAGTTTATGAGGTTTCCATCCTATTGTACATATCCAAAGCGGTTGCAGTTTTTTAGAAAATAAAGCATTGTTCTTGTTTTTATTATTTGTATAAATATTTTCCATTTATCTTATGCCTAAATAGTAGATAAGGTTACTACAGGATTAAAGAGTTTGGCTCTGAATTAGTGGGGCATACACTTTGGGGTAAGGATTTTTTCATTCTTATGAACAGTTACAGATCATATTTCATGCTAAAATACATTTTACATTTCATGTTTTCAATTTTCAATTGTTTGTTTTCACCACTTTAAAATATTATAAATGTATAAACATCTTCAATAGAATGTGGAGCTGCTTTCACCAGCAAACTTGAAGGAATGTTTAAAGACATGGAACTTTCTAAAGACATCATGATTCAGTTCAAACAGGTAAAAGTGAGTTAAACTCTTACTTAAATTCTCAAACTTAAGTGTATTTAGTTATTTCCTTTCTGTGGTTTGCACTGAAGAGGATAAATAGGAACCTACATTTGTTGTAAATACATCATAGCAGCTTAGATGATGTTCACATTAGAGAAATCACCAATGGAATATATTTGACCTACTTCAGAATTTATTCCCAGTATACACCCAGGGTAACACAAAAGCAAATAAAATGCATTGAACTGAAGTCGGGACAAGAAAAACTGTAGCTAGATCGTGAGAATGGGGCTTTCTCTAACATCCAGTCACTGTTAGTGATTTATATGTTCAAAGCTCGCAATGGGGAGAGAGGAGATTCAATAAAATGGTTGTAAAAGGCCTTTGGAGCCATTGGGAATGAAAAGCTTAGATCCACGGTTTTGTAGATGTTGGTTAAGATGATTTTGAAACATTTAAGAGCATAGGTAATAGTGATAGCAAATTAAATTTTCCTCTCAGGGTTTTTGTAATGGCTTCTTTACCACTATATTGCTATGGTGGGAAATGATAGTGGACAACACAAGAGAAAGAGCAGCAGGATCACATTCCCATAGTAGTGGCAGAATAGGGTTTATTTGCTTTGCTCTTTCCCCTTCCTCTTCCTTCACCACTTCACGTTACCCCCTGCAAGCAGGCAGTGGAGCACGTGAAAAAGTGGATACTTGGGCTGGCTGGTGGGGTGAGGAATGGGGGTTGCTACAAGTTGTTCAGGTCACATTAGGCGTCTCCAAAGGTGGGGACTGCAGGTGGTAGGGGGAAAAGAATGGACATGAGATTCTACTTATAACTGCCTAGCCATAAGTGAGAGATTATTGAAGTCGATAATGCCTCTAATGAGGTCACATGATCCTTGTGTGCCTTTGTAATAAAATGTTAGCTAATGCATTTGATAGAGGCTTCGTTTATAGTCCTTTTATAACAGTTCCCTTTTATTTTAAAGATGGTCAGTGTTGGCATGTAATTTTATAATGGGGAACTTCTTGAATGGGCTATTATTATGACATGAAATGTATGCACTTTTTTAAAGACCTCATTGTGTGTGTTGATCTTATTGTAGTATATGCAAAACCAGAATGTACCTGGGAATATTGAATTAACTGTGAATATCCTGACAATGGGTTATTGGCCAACATATGTGCCTATGGAAGTCCACTTACCACCAGAGGTAAGAGTTGCTGTTCAGGACTTGTGTTATAAGCACAGAAATACATAACACTTCTATTTTGTTTGTCATTGAAAAATAGATACTTTTTAAAGGTTTGTGTCAGCATGCCAACACCAAATGCCAACTGTTTTAATATTTTGCTCTTCCTTTTATTATTCTTGTACTTACATCGTTAGAGCATAGTTAATGATGTCAAGTTTCTGGGTCCAGAGCCAATTTTCATGACTCTTTTTTCAGTTTTCCAGATTGCACCCATCTTTCTGCCCAGCTCTCAAAAATTCTTGCCCATATATCACCTGGGGGTTGGATTGCTGAGTCAATGGGCTTGAGTAAATCCATCCTAAATTCTGGGGAAATGTCTTAACTCAGGACTGAAGCTTAGAAGCGGGGTTAAAGCTAGAGATAGATATTGAGAATCCTTCATGGAGATGATCATGGAAGCCAAGGGGGTCGAGATCTCCCTCATTAAGAGGAAAAGAATGTAGAAATAGAAAAAAATAGGGCTGAGACAGAACATTGGAAAAGGTTCACATCTGGCAGGTGGTAGGAACAGGAAGGAAACCAACAAAAAAGCAGTCATGAGGTAAAGGAAGCAAAGCAGCATGATATGGAGGCACAAAGCCACTGGAGGGGAATGTTGCAAAAGGGGGGGTGTTTAAATGTTGCAGAGAGATTGAAGCGTATAAAGGCTGATGAATGCTATTAGATTTGGTAGTTGGCAGATCATTACTTTACATCAAAGTGATCAGTGGACCTACCAGGTATAAAAACTGATACTGAAAGCTTCCAGAAATTATTATACATGAGGTGAATAGAAAGAATGGTGAAAGCGATACTGGATACAGAGCTTAAATAAAGCTGTGTTTTATTTACTGTAGATGGTAAAACTTCAGGAGATTTTCAAGACATTTTACCTAGGCAAACATAGCGGCAGGAAACTTCAGTGGCAGTCAACCCTAGGACACTGTGTGCTAAAGGCAGAATTTAAAGAGGTAAGTAGATGTTCCCATAACTTAGTGTTCATCTTCATTTTTGTTGTTGAGGTCATCCTTTTTTCTCCTTTAAACACTTTTTATTTGAGTATAGTTGACACACGATGTTACATTAGTTTCAGGTGTACAACATAGTGATTTAACTTCTCTATACATTATACTATGCTCACCACAGAGGTCATTCCTTTTAACTTGACGATTTGTTTTACAAGTTTATCCTAAATATATAACAGTGACTGCTTTGTGTATATTATTAAGAATGTGGTCTTCATGGTTGAATTGGCTCTGCTGCAAAACCACAAACAGTAACCCTTTTGTTGCCATCCTTTCCCCACCTGTGGATACAGGATTCCCATTTCCACTTCTTGATAGGAACCTTCTTGTTGCTGGGAGCTAGGGAATAGAGTGGATGTAAAGGAGAATAGTTCCATATCTAATTTCAAAAAATTCCTGCAACTTTTCATGACTAATTTGAATCTAACAAGTTGAAAATGCATTTGAAATAGTGATTTCTTGCTGCTTGTGAAAAAAATCTGTAGTGATGCAATAAGGCCAAGTTATTAATGTTTGTTTTTTTTTTTGAGAGATAGGGACAGAGTGCGAGCACGGGAAGGGGAGAGAGAGGGAGACACAGAATGTGAAACAGGCTTCAGGCTCTGAGCTGTCAGTACACAGCCTGACGTGGGGCTCAAACTCGGGAATGGTGAGACCGTGACCTAGACCGAAGTTGGATGCTTAACTGACTGAGCCACCCAGGCAATAAGGCCAAGTTATTAATTTTCATTACTTTGTTGTTCTGTTTTAATTACAAGACATTTTAAAAAAGACCCATAGAAAGGTCACCCAATCCTTCTTTTCTATTTCAGGTAGGATCACACCTAAACCCTACACTGAACGTACTGGCTTTCCTGTATAATGTTAATCCATGTTTCTAAATCCACTGAAGGAAAAATGCTTTTCCTGTTAAAGATTATTGATGATTTGATTAATTTTCATGTGTTTTTTAAAAAAATGATGGCTAAACTCTGCTGTTTCTCCAACAGGGTAAAAAAGAACTCCAGGTCTCTCTCTTTCAAACCCTGGTGCTGCTAATGTTTAATGAGGGAGAGGAGTTCAGTTTAGAAGAGATCAAGCAGGCTACTGGAATAGGTTTGTGTTGAGTCAATCAATTAGCAAGCATTATTCAGTGTCTGCTGTGTGCATTCCACTAAGGTTAGAGCTCTGGGGGGATACAAAGGAATAATCCCTCTTAGCACTCATAATCATGGGGAAAGGGAAAAATGACATTTGTAATAATTTCACAGCCAATAAGTATCAATCTGTGGGGCTGACTAGGACTGTGTTAAGAGTTTAGTGAAGCAAGAAACGTCTGTGGGCTGGCATAATTGGGAAATCCGTCATGAAGGAGGTGATATTTGAGGTGGCCTTCAAGTTTTAGTTAGGGAGGTGGCATATGCTGCCAGGGGAGATAGTGTGAGAAAAGTCTTGGTAAGAATGAGCACAGTGTGGGCAGGATTCATGAAGAATGTAACTACAGCATCGAATAGTGAGATAAGGGTAGGTAAGATGAATAGAGCCTGATCATGGAGAGCCTTGAAGATCTAGCAAATGAAACCTACGTTGTAGGGTCTCAAGTATGAGACATCATGAAAGTGGCTTATTTACACAACTTACCTGGAATCAATAGACAATAGGGCAGCTTGGAGGATGAAGAGATGCCAGTCCAGAAACTAGTCAGGGTAATTCAGGCTTAAACCGATAAGGGGCTTCGATTTGAATGAGGCCAACGAGAATGGAGAAGAGGCATCTATCTCTAAGGAAGCAGCTACTAGGTACATGAAGGAAAAAGGGGAAGGACAGTTAAAAGATGATGCCAGGGTTTCTCACCAGAGTGGATTGGTAGTTTCAGGACTAACAATTAGAAAGAATATACAGTTTTATGGGGAAGATTATGAATAAAATTTTAGACATATTGGAGTTGATGATAGTTAAACAGCCAAGTGGAGGTGTCTTTTGAATGTGGGACTAGAAGGAAGTGAGATGTCATTTCTGAAGATTTGGTAGTTATTCACGTAGAATAATTGGAGCCTTTAGGGAACCACAGGAAAAAGGTCATTGGATAGGGCAAAGAGGAAGACCTTGACCTTGGGGAAAAAAGGAAACAGTTTTAATCGAGGGATGGGGTAGAAGCTAGATTGAGATGAACGTAGCTGTTTATGTTGATGAGCTAGTAACAAATAATCCACTATTTCTTCTTCAGAGGATGGAGAATTAAGGAGAACACTGCAGTCATTGGCCTGTGGCAAAGCTAGAGTTCTGGCAAAAAATCCGAAGGGCAAAGATATTGAAGATGGTGACAAGTTCATTTGTAATGATGATTTCAAACACAAACTTTTCAGGATAAAGATCAATCAAATCCAGATGAAAGAAACGGTATCTCTTTTGCATTCTCCTTGTCCTGATGCACTGGAATTACATGTATTCATAATAAAAATGTATAAAGAAGGTTTCATACCTGTACTATTGGCACTAACGTTTTCTGTGCTTATATTTAGCTCAGTATATTTCAGTACTTGATCTTGCAGTTTTTTGGGGTGGGGGGGAAGTACACACAACTGGGCCTGATACTCAAGATAGTTCTGTATTCTGCTTTTTTTGCTTAACATTAAGTCTTTAGAATATTCTATGCCCTTAAATATCTTCATAAAATGTCAAGTGGCTACACAGTGTTCTTTTACATGGCCATTATAATTTATTCAACCAATGCCTGCTGGACGATTAAATTCTTAATTTCTTAGTGCTGTAAACAAAACTGCCAGAAATATCTTTGTACTTTAATCTCTCTGAGACTTCCTTTATGATAAATTCATGGAGGTACGTATTTTTTGGGTTAAAGAGTATGAACAGTTTAAGAATCTTAAAACTGATGTTGTATTGTGTTCTAGAAAGACTGGACTAATTTATACTCTGTCTAGCAACAAGAATGCCTGTCTTACTGGTGCCCTCACCAGCAGCACTAAAGATTGTTTTACTTTTTAAATCTGCACCAATTTGCTGGGTGAAAACTCTGGATGATTTAGTTAGTATTTCTTTGATTAACAGTGAAGTTTTTGTTTCTGCTATTTGAATTTGTAAGGGACTTGTATTGTGGAAACAAACAACTGCGGCATTTCCTGACATCATTTGGTTTCAGTTCCAAAGGTTTAATGCAGTACATGAGGAAAAATTTTAATGTGAGACAGAGGGCAGTATCTCAGACAAGTTCCTGTTTTATACACATTCACATCAAAGGTGTCATATTCCCTTAGAAGATTACTGTGTCCTTTTACAGCATTTATGCTGTATCAGAAAGAAATGGGCTGCAAAAAGCCCAAACTCTTAGGTGCTAAAGATGAACATTTTTGCCTTAGCATTAAAATTGATAAACTGACTCATAAACAACCTAAATTTCTGGTGGTTTTGAACACTATAATAACTTAACACTGCATTTCTGATTTATGTATTATAAAATAATTTTTAAAAAGTTTGACTCCAGTTAGTACTATACTTTAAGTCAGAGATCAGAGTCCATCACTTCTATGGAAAAGCTAATGTCATACAGAAATCTGGTCAATAACCCCTTATGACACATTAACCAATATTGGCATTACTTCATTGGTACAGGACAATATAATTAGGACAGAAAGGTATTGTTTTTACTGTCATCGTCTGTATTTATAAGCATTCTGTAAATAATTAAATATATTTAAATCATTAATTAACAGTATGTCATGGCCCTAAAATTTTCAGTTTGTGTAAGCAAATTTCACTTCAGGTGTAGTTCCTAAGTTTGAAAAAATTTTGTTGTTAGGTTGAAGAACAAGCAAGCACTACAGAAAGAGTATTTCAGGACAGACAGTACCAAATTGATGCTGCAATTGTTCGAATCATGAAGATGAGAAAGACGCTTAGCCACAATCTTCTTGTTTCAGAAGTGTACAACCAGTTGAAATTTCCAGTAAAGGTAGGTACTTGTATATTTTTGTATTGAGCTTGTTACATAAAAAGAACATGTTAGATTTTCAGACACGAATCTTTTCTTTTAAGTTTATTTATTTTGAGAGAGGGAGAGAGAATCCTAAGCAGACTCTGCGCTGTCAGTGTGGAGCCCAGCGTGGGGCTCAAACTAACAGAGATCGTGACCTGAGCTGAAACCCAAGAGTTGGACACTTAACCAACTGAGCCACCTAGGCGTCCCCAGACATGAATCTTAAAAACATAGATTGATTTCTCCTGCTCATATATCTGTGATTCCCCCCCACAAAAATCCCTTTGTTACCATATGTGGATAATGGTGACAACAGGGAAAACTATTTATAAGAGCTCTTCTTACACCTGAAAGTTTAGCTGCTAAATGCAAAATTTTCAGGTTCATTCACATTATCTTTTGATCTTGTTTTATTTTTGTTTATATTTTCTTTTTGAACTACTTTGATATTTTGACAGATTTGGTTATTTTCAGTTATATCTTGTTTTATTTAGCTTATGTAAGTGTCCATTAAAAACTGTTGAGACACGGGTTCCTGGGCGGCTCAGTCAGTTGAGTGCCTGGCTTCAGTTCAAGTCATGATCTCACTGTTCATGAGTTCAAGCCTCGCATTGGGCTCTGTGCTAACAATGGGGAGCATACTTGGGATTCTCTCTCCCTCTTGTCTGCCCCTTCCCACCTCAAAATTAATAAACTTTAAAGAAAAAATTCTATACAGATAACTAGCCATCATTAGGCATCTTTTTGAAAAGTTTAGCAGTTCTGGCAACCTGAAATTGGTCATTAAATGGACATGTTCCAGTGTAGATGTTCAATATTAAAGAGGCTTAGACAATGTGGTGTTTTACTGGCCTATTTTTCAAATTTTTTTTTTTTAGAAGATTTCCAAACCTTTGTTATGATAAAGACTTCATAGAGTTTGGATAAACTCTTGGCTCTTGAGGTTCTCATGACCTTTAGGCTTAGGTAAATCACTTCGTCTATGGGGATAATCTATTTAAATCGTAGGTTTAGGGGCGCCTGGGTGGCTCAGTCGGTTGGGCGTCTGACTTCGGCTCAGGTCAGGATCTCGCGGTCTGTGAGTTCGAGCCCCGCGTCGGGCTCTGTGCTGACCACTCAGAGCCTGGAGCCTGTTTCGGGTTCTGTGTCTCCCTCTCTCTCTGACCCTCCCCCATTCATTCTCTGTCTCTCTCTGTCTCAAAAATAAATAAATGTTAAAAAAAAATTAAAAAAAAATAAATCGTAGGTTTATTGTGAGGCTTAAATGAGGTATGATATATGTACAAAACTTATTAGCTTTGGGCCTGGCATGTAGTAAGTGCTCATTAGCAATTAATGCTAATAAGACAGGCTTTCTCTCTTCTCCAAATCTAATACTGCGTTCTTGTTACCACACTCTTACCCATATGCTCTGCCTTACAACCATTTCACCTCCAGCCAAAGAGATCACTGGTGCTACGGCAATTAAAGGATTTCTGTAATACTGTTTTTTGGCTTCCCCATCAGACCACTTTCCTTCTTCAGCCTTCTCAAGTGGCCATTTTATGCAATCTGAAAAACTACTAGCAAGATTACATTTTTTTTAATAGGCTAGATACAAAAGACAATGAGATTTTGTCATCCAAGAGCTAAGAATGCAAACATGAGAACAAGTTATAAGCTTTCTTGATTTTTCAACCATAGGTAGAGTTCAGATATCCAAATTGTTTATAGTAGATAACAGGTAAATCTTAAACCTGAAATACAGAGACCTGAATAATGAAATGGTAATTCACTTATCAGACCATTTGTTGTAGTATTTTTGTAAATAGTGTTTTCTGCGGTACATTTTTTAAATCTTAATTTATAAAAATACAACCTGACTTTGAGAACTACCTTTTGCCCAAATTTAAGGTCTACTTAGTCTTTTCAGACTCTCTTAGCAAAACTAAATAGCATTCTGGTTTCCTAAACTGTAATGTATTCCTCCTGTGAAGTTACGATGTTAGTCTTTTGTATTTGTGCAGAGAAGAGCTGGTTCTTTTTTTTTTAAATGTTTTATTTATTTAGAGAGAATGCAAGCAGGGGCGGGGCAGAGAAGGGAGAGAGAATCCCAAACCCGTGCTGACAGTGCAGAGCCTGATGCAGGGCTTGAACTCATGAACCGTGAAATCATGACCTGAGCCAAAATCAAGAGTTGGACACTTAACCAATTGAGCCACCCAGGCTCCCTGAAAATAGCTGGTTCTTAAAAGACTTCCTTTGGGTTGCCTGGGTAGCTCAGTCTGACTCCAGCTCAGGTCATGATCTCATAGTTTTTGGGCCCCGTGTCGGGCTCTGTGCTAACAGTTCAGAGAAGATCCTGCTTCAGATCCTGTGTTTCCCTTTCTGTCTCTGCCCCTCCCCCACTCGTGTTCTAGCTCTCTTTCTCAAAAAATTAAAAATAAACATTAAAAAAAATTTTAAAGCTATCTTTAAAATAGAAAAGTAACAGTATTGTATAATGATATGACAAGATGTGACAGTATATGTATAGTATAAAAACATTTCTTAATCTGGTTTTATTTTCATTATATTTTTTCTCTTTAAAAAAGTAAGGAGATAAAATACATTAAATTAGTCAGCCAAAAAAAATTTTTAATGGGGTGTTGGTACATGGGCTTGAGCCAATGATGATGAGGTTTGCACTGAAAATTTGCCTTCTTTTACAGCCTGCTGATCTTAAGAAGAGAATAGAATCCTTAATTGATCGGGATTACATGGAAAGAGATAAAGAAAATCCAAACCAATACAATTATATTGCATAAACATTGGCCTCTGAGTATTTGGTATCATATACAGTAGCAGTGGATAAACTAACCTGTTGATCCTATATTATTTGACTTCTTTTATACTACCAATGACCAAATGAAGCAGTGTAATGGAAATAGTTGAGTCGACTTTTTCAGTGGTTAACATGCCCATTTAAAGAGTTAATACTTAACCTTTAAGAAGAATGTTGTTGAACTCTTTGCATGTTATTTAGTATGATGTGCAGAAAATTCTTAAGAAAGTACTTGGTCTTCATGATTCCTCTTTGGAACTGGGGAAGAGGTCCCTAAGGCTATTAAAAAAAAAGAGGGGGGGGTTCTTATACACCATTAATTATGAAGCAAAAGGTTTATTTGCTTAAAATGTCATTTAAAGATACTTAAACTGCATGCAAACTTTATTTACTGTACAGAGTTCTGGATGTATTTATCAAATAGAAAAACCACCCTGGACTTGGTTGTTCACATGTTTTGTGATTTCCCTTGAAAAGAAAAAGTTGTCGTAGCTATTGATATTTTACTAAGTAATGTTCTGTTACACTGAAAGGGATGTTTAAAAAAAACTTATTTGGAAACAAGTTTTCAAGTAGAGGGACAGTTGCTTATGTAATCTCTTGTATATACACATCCTAAGGTGTTCCATCTATGACTGTGGGATGTGTGTATATGGCTTAGCCCTGAGTTTACTGTTCTGATTAACAGGTACTTATAAAAATAGCTGAAATAGAAAATTGCTGATCAGCTGTACTGGAAGATATGGTAAGAGAGAAAAAAAATCCAACTCGTCATATGAAAAGTGAATACAATATGAACATTGCAAAAGAGACCAAAACCCATGTGTTTTGTAAATTTTTACAGAAGCAAAAATCATCAACTAGTTTTCAACTTCCTTTAGACTTTAATGTTGTTTGGACAGTTTTATCTTTAACTTGGACCAATTGTTAGATTGTTACAGGCTTCCTAGGATTTAGCATTCCTATTTTCTCTACCAAAGTTTTTTTGGGAAGCACCCCAACTCCTTTTTGTTGCTAAATAAACCTTTCATCCTTCTTCTGACTTCCTAAAGACCTAGATATAAAGGTCCTCTCCCTTTGTTTTCCCTATATACCTCCTAGTCAGGAATTCCAAAATCTGTATTATGTTCATCTTACTCCTTTCAAAATTTCTTGAAGAGTTCTCATAGCCAGCCACTGGACATCTACTTTTCAGGGGAATGTCCTAGGATTGTTCATACATAGAAAATAGCAAAAGTATTGTTATTCAAATTGGTAATGTGAGTAAAAAGGCTTCTCTGTAGCATCGGTTGGGTTTTTTTGTTTTTGTTTTTGTTTTTGTTTTGTTTTTTTTTGCTTGTTGGTTTTTCCTTGAGAATTGATCTTGGAGGAGAAGCAGAAAATTTGTTTGGGTTTTTAAAAATCAGAATTGCTTTGATGTTTTTGGCAACAGTAGATTTCCTTGACTATTTGGAGCCATTAGAAAAAATACCTAGATCCTAACCATCAACTGAGGAGACGTTTGGCTCTTGTGTCTACTATTGTTTTCTTGAGTTCTCAAGACCTGTGACCAGCTGTTACTAAAAAGTTGCCTGTTTCTCTGATTGCATCAACTTGCACACTGTTAACAATATGTGGTATTTAGAATGCCTTCCTGATTATTTTTGAGTGTGGCCATTGTCTATATTTTCTCAGCTTCTCCCTGGTTTCCTTGCATGAGCTCATCTGACAAGGAAATGCAGTTATTTTGTTTGTCCTCTCTCCACACTGGACCATCTCTGTCAGTGTTCTAACTCATCCCAGGTGGTCTCTGAGATATACAGACTATCTCACAAGACTCAATAGTTACTCTTAGGGAATTTCTAGGTAGAATTGGTCCCTGTTAGGAGGAGACTCTTGGTGTCACTTTTGTTATCTTGAAAGCTGGTCCCTTCCCTGAGGCTCTTAATTTTTTGAAAACTTGATGCTGTTTCAACTGAAAAATTGGCAAGACTATTAAAAAAAAAGTTGAAGGGAGCTGTTTAAGAAATTGACAAGTAATTGCAAAAAACATTGGGTAATTGTGACTTTCAGTTGTTCTGTATCAGTTAAATTTTTGTGCTCTTTTCCCTGTGTACGTGGTGGTTCTATTTTTCTCCAATAAAACTTTTATTTAAAAAAAGTTTCTGGAGAAGATCTTTAAAACTGAAGTATTGTAAGAAAGTTATGAAACCACAGAACTTTGCATCTTCCTAATGACTTCATGCATTCATATTTGTCAATTTTGTTATTTAAAATTTTCTCTTTTTTATGTTTGTGGTGGTTTGGTGATAATGCTATAGGAATGTGAAGGAGGGTGAGTCAAATTCTCAGGAATTCTCAAGGTGAGTATTTATTCTTAAGTGTCAGTATTGTAGAAAAATCAAGTGCAAGTATAAACACAGTTTCATTCAAATTCTCAAAAGTTTAATAGTTTCATAAAGTCACCATGAAACTAGATTTACATTGAGGGAAGAATAAAAGATAAAATACTTACGTTTTTAGTAACGGCACTTGATCTTCCTTTTCTATTCATATGAATTCTAGGTCATATACTCTCACTGTTACGATGCTCCTCAAGAACCTTACCAAGCCAGGAATCAGGAAGCTTTTTTGAACCCAGTTTGTGAGTCTGCTGAACAGTCTTAACATGAGGTCTTGCCATACTCTTGAAAATTCTTATCTTTGTACATGTGTGTACAATTCAGGAAACTAGTTGATGCTGTTTAGGCAACTGTGTCTCAAGATTCTCAAAAGCTTGTTTTTTAATCTTAGTATCCATACATCTTTTTTTACATTAGCTGTTTTTTTTTTTTTATTTTAGTGACCATTCTGATTTATGCTGTGAATGGCAGGACGTGTTATAAATGTGTTCTGTTCCATCATCTACATAAAATTGCCAAAGTAAATTGCCCATTAAAAAGAAAAGAGCAGGGGTGCCTGGGTGGCTCATTTGGTTGTGTCTGACTCTTGATTTTGGCTCAGGTCATGATCTCACGGTTCATGAGGTCAAACCCCTTATTGGCCTCTATGGTGGCAGCGTGAAACCTGCTTGGGATTCTCTCCCCCCACTTCTCTCTGCCCTTCCCTCACGCTTGTGCTAGCATGCTCTCTATCAGGATAAACGAACATTAAAACGTATTTCTATGTATTTTGTTCTTTTTTTGATGCTCTTGCAAATTGAATTGTTTTCTTTATTTTTCAGATTGTTCATTGCTAGCACATACAATTTTTTTAAATCTTATTTTTAAGTAATTTCTACACCCAACATGGGACTCAAACTCACAACCCTGAGATCAAAAGTTGCATGCTCTACTGACTGAGCCAGCCAGGTGACCCATACACAATTTTTTTGTGTGTTTATCTTACACCCTATAACTTTGCTGAATTTGATTATTGGGTCTAATATATTTTTGTGGATTTTTAAGGATTTTCTATTGTCTGTGAATAGAGTTAAGTTTTTGCTTTTTCCTTTCCAATGTGGGTGTGTTTTATTTCTTTTACTTGCCTACCTACTATCTCTGTCTGGAGCTCCCAATATGATGTTGAGTAGAAGTGGCTAAAGCAGGCATCCTTGTCTTGTTCATCATCTTAGGGGGAAAGCTTTCAGTCTTTTGCTGTTAAGTATGATGTTAGCTGTGGGTGCTCCACAAATGCTCTTTATCGTCTTTTATTCTTAGGTTTCTGAGTTCCTATCATTAAAGACTGTTGAGATTTGTCCAATGCTTTTTCTGCATCAACTCAGACAATTGTGACTTTTTTCCTTTGTTCTATTAAATTGGTGTATTACGTCTATTGGTTTTCATATGTTGAACCACCTTTGCATGCCTGACATAAATCCCACTTCATCATGGTGTATAATCTTTTTAATATGTTGTCATTTTGGGTTGCTAGTATTTTGATGAGGATTTTTGCGTTATATATTCATAAGGGATATTGATTGGTCTGTAGTAATCTTGTGTCTTTGACTTTGCTATCAGTTGAAATAGTTATACAGTGTTATTTCCTCTTCTGTTTTTTGACAACTTTGAGAAGGGTTGGTGTTAATTCTTTAAATATTTGCACCAGTGGAGACATCTGGTCCTGGGCTTTTCTCTGTGGAGAAATTTTTAATTCATTCAGTCTCTTTGCTCATAGACCTGTTCGGGTTTTCTCTTTCTTCTTGAGTCAGATACAGTGTTTTGTCTCTAGGAGTTTGTTGATTTCATTTTGGTTATCCAATTTGTTGGTGTACAGTTGTTCACAGTGGTTTTTAAAAACTTTTTTTAACATTCATTTATTTTTGAGAGGTAGAGTGTGAGCAGGGAAGGGGCAGAGAGAGAGAGGGAGATAAAGAATCTGAAGCAGCTTCCAGGCTCTGAGCTGTCAGCACAGAGCCCAGCACGGGGCTTGAACTCACATACTGTGAGATCGTGACCTGAGCCGAAGTTGGTGCTTAACCCACTGAGCCACCCAGGCACCCCTGATTATTCTTTTTGATATATCGACCCTTAATATATATTATCGTTCCTTGTCTCTTGTACAGTTTTTTACTTAAGAGTTCATTTTGTCTGATAGTAATAGAGCCACTCTAGCTCTCTCTTGGTTACTGTTTGCATACAATATCTTTTTTCCATTCTTTCTCACAACCTTTTTTGTGTTTGGGGTCTAAAGTGAGTCTCTTGTAGACAGCCTGTAGTTAATGTGTTTTTAATCCATTCTTCCAGTCTCTGCCTTTTTCAATTGGAGACTTTTAAGCCATTTATACTTAAAATAATGACTGATAGGACACCTGGGTGGCTCAATCATTAAGCATCTGACTCAGCTCAGGTCATGATCTCATGGTTCCTGAGTTTGAGCCCTGCACCAAGCTCTGCTGACAGCCTGGAGCCTGATTTGGATTATGTGTGTCTCTCTCTGCTACTCCCATGTTCACACTCTTGTCTGTTTCTTTCAAAAGTAAATAAAACATTAAAAATTTTTTTAGGGGTGCCTGGGTGGCTCGGT